AAGCAAGAATTTTCCTCATACTTAAAAAAAAAACTTTTGCTCCTTTTTTCTGGTATACATTTATTATCTATTAAGAAAATAGTTTGAATTTAAATTTTTTTGTGTCTAAATAATAATATAAAATAGGGGATTCACAAAAATGATAGTGGTCGGCTTTTTACGGTAGGTGAAGAATATGCGTCTAGATTAAAAGATACCAAACCTACATAAATGAGAGGTGTAATATTTTGCCAACATATCCTAACGAAATTATCCCCACTATTAATAGCCACAAAGACGGTAAATTACCTGGTGTAGACAGCATCAAAATAGCGACTATAAAAGAAATAAAATATTATTTAACCGAAAGTCCAAGTCACACCATAAATAAAAGAATAGAGACTGGTCGCCGATCCACTGCGTTTACAGTAAGTATATTAGTTCCAATTCATAAAAACCAAGACATGTTAATAATGTAAGTAATTGTCGACTTATTTCACTCATAAAAAAATTTGCAAACTTGGTCTAAAGTCATTTAGACAGGACTTCGCTCTCACCTGAAGGCAATATTCAAACAATTTCAGTGTGCTAGAAAAAAAAATTTCGACAAGGGTGGGATCGAACTAATGTGAGCAGAGCTCAAGTTCTCTAAGAAATTCACACGTCCACCGGCAGTCGTTATCCACCAAACATTAGCTATGAACACAAAAAATTTTGTAAAGTAATTTTGATAAAAATCAAGACAGACTCATAAACCACAAATATAGGATTATGTTATGTCATAAAGTGTAAATATGAGTTACTATGGAAAAAAAGAGTTTACGTCATTCAATTGTTGCTGGAGATGATTAGATAAATTTTGCACGAGATTCTTACTATATGAGGCAGTTTATTTTACTGAAGAAATCAAGAATGGCTGACTCCTTTTTCTCAAAATTTTGGGAATGCAGTACTGTTATTATATGTATGTATTGCACTGCATCTATCCAAATTGATATATGTGTCCTTGCAAAAATGTTGATGACATCTTCACAAACTTTTGTAATGGAAAATTTCACTTAAACCATATACGTAGTACATTTGAAAGCGAGGAAAAAATAGAGAAAACAAATCCTTCAGTTAACTTATTAACTAATTTATGAAAAATAAGAATTTTAATGAAAGACAGAAAAATGTGTTAAAATTTGGACCAGGTAATAATGTGGAAACAAAAATGAAATAAATAAATCAAGAATCGAAAAATCCTGCAAAACTTAATTTCAAAACGAGTTTATCCTAACACAATATAGCAGGTGGCGTTTAAATAAAGAACACAAAAACGTGTGTTTAAGAAGCAGTAGATGAAGTAAAATAAAAAGAATTCGATAATATTTAGTGTGAAAGAAATTCTTATTCAATATTCAGTTATCAATTTCTGTATAGGTACATGAAAAGAAATTAATCACTTAGAACACCGAAATTTTATTGTATTGTTGCCACGCAGCAAAGGCCTTTTGTACTTTACCAGCAATTCGAACGGCCAGTCGTTTGGTCCGTCGGTGAAGAAAACCGTCGAATTTTATTTTACATATATTTAGTTAAACAATTAATAATATAATTTAAATATTTTTGGGGAAAAGATTGAAAAAACATCATCATTTTTTTTCTGCTACACGAAAAATCGAAATGGAAAAATTATCTGAACACATATGCACATAAGGAAAAAAATATGCATAAAAAAAATAAAATACTTACAAAATATGCAACAAAAAGACGTCAAAAAAATTTTGATAAAACAAAAATAGGACAAAATTACCGATCAAAATAGTCTTCATAAAAGATAAAAAATTTTTTCAAAAAATAACACACAATTTAAAATTAATGCAACAATCTGCTACAACTTAACGAATCCCCTCAACTAATGTTTAATAACGGTGCAATTTACTATTACACAGGTATAATAAGTAGTCAAGATTTAAAAAATACCTAACAGAAAAAGTTTTGAAATCACAATGTAAATTTTCAGCATAATTTTGCATTTATGTCACCTGAAAATAAATAGAAAAAATCTAAATAACAGACTCAAAAGATACACAAAAAAATAGTTTCCGAGAATGTTTGACTAAAAATTCGCAAGGAAACAGATAGACGGAAACGGAAAATCGATATTTTCACGCCATAAATTGGGAGATGTTCAGAAAACAAGAAATGAAAATTTAATAAAATAATCCTGCTACAGTACGTTTTGGAAATTAAAAACAGAAGAAGTTAATTTAACCGAAACTTCAGTAAACACTTCCCAATAAACTCTAACATTTAAGAGCACTATTTTCAATTAAAATAATAGTTGTAGTTAAGTATGTTCCAAACATAAAAATGTTTTCAAAACAATTCTGAATTTAGAAAAAACAATAACGATAGTTGCAATGAATAATATTATCAATTGCAGTGATAGGTAAAACGTAAAGACGGTCCATAATGCGATAAAATTAAAATTGGATTTAATTTTTAAGTAATAATTAACATTGATAAAAACCTAACTGAAGAAATAAGACACAATGCATTGAATAATAAACCGATACAAAAAGCCTAATAGCCACATTTGCCTTTGGGCACATCACAACACCCACGATCTCTGCCAAAATAGTCATGTCAAATAGATTCTTGGGGGGTATTCCAACGGTCAACGGGAGGAAAATTGAAAGATACGCTGTAGACTCTAGAAAAAATTCTTCAACGCAGTCTAATAGAGTTATAATTTAAAAGTATTTTCAAACATATAGAGTGTTCCGTTTAACTTATACAATAGAGCTGTATGTTTACTTTCATAGAGTAAGTTAGAAAAGTATTGTAATAGAATCCATTTGGTCTATTTTATGTTTTATCGACGTCTCACAATCATTTCCCCCAGAATATAAAAAAATTGGTAGAAGTTTCTTTCGGCAAAAATATATACATATACCTATATGAAACAAACGCCGCCTCTTTGAAAAATCTGAAATCGGATTTTGCGATTTTTGTTTTGTGATAATCTCTACAAAGTAAAAATCAATGGCGTAAATAACATCCCCCACAGCCCCTGCGCCGCGGGGACACAAATTGCAAGGTACCGTGGTCCGCACAAGTGCGATCGATAGAAATGTACATATTTATCAAATTCGTAAAAAATAACGGCAAAGATTACCACAAAACAATGAACAGGAATGTATTACGAGTCACAGTTTGTTTTATTTATTTTTTTTTCAATTTTTAATTATTCATTGTAGGTGTGCAAGTTTTATTAGCTGGGATTTCTTCGAAAACAGTAACAATTTCGATTTCATTCAATATTCTATTGTATGGAGGGTATCTACAACAAAATACTAATATTTACTAATTATTTAATGTTTAAACTGCGGCGAGTAACATATGACAGGATGTATTTGCCTATTTAAAATATTTCAAGAAAGAGATGCTGAAGTTTTTAGAATATGTATCTTTTCTTTCTTTTACATCCTTAATAAGAGTAGGAGAAATATATAATTACAACAGATGTTAATATTGAAAGAGAAAATAAAATCATTGAGATGGAATCCATAGGGCAGTCGCCAATTAAAAACAAATGCGATTTTATAATTTTTATATTTGTTCTAGTTTGGTGAAAAAAAGGTTTTGTGGATAATAAAGATATGCAAAAATTAACCTCAGAATCAGCACAGGCGCAAAATTTAAAAGTACAGTGTCAAATTTTTTCCTATGTAGACATCTATTTGGAACAAATTATCATTTTAAAATAAAAAATGTAATAAACTCCGTCAAATAAGTAGACGAATAACGGCAAACTTGATATAAAACTAACGCAATTCTTGTTTTACAGTTGCTTTGAAATGGTTTATTCAAATTTTTCTCAAAGTAACCCCAAATTAATATAACAGCACATTCGCTGTTTCCCGCTGTGTATAAGGTAGTTCAGTGTTGGAAATTGTCTCATTCACATTCAGGCAGAGACCACTTGTTAGGATATTGCAGTGTTTGTCTTCAGGCGAACTGATACCTAAACCGGAAACTATTATCGACGTCCCAGCAGTTTGAAAAACCAGCCGTTATTTGTTGAAAAAAAAAATCAAGAATATTGTCTGAATTTAGAATTTATGTGTAAAATATCCGAAAAAATGTGTGTATCTGTACATCACATTTTAATGTAAAACTACATTATCATTATGTTTGTTAACTACATGTCTTCATAAATTTGCCTAAACCTTTTTTGTTTTAAGTAATAATAAAAATTGTTTTAATTGTACTACGAACGATAAGAGCTTTGAGATTTATTCCGTTCGCGTTTGATCTATCACCACATCTATTAGTATATTTACTAAGCTTTTTCATCGCGAAGTTGTCAGACAAGTGGTTGTGTAAATAAAACAAAATAAATTCAGTTTGAAAGCCTTAAATCGTTCATAGAACTTCATCGAGTTTCATGGATGCATCTAAGGTTCTAACTTTATACAAAACAAATAGAATTATGAAACAAGCTTAAAAATAATTCGATAAATTTGCTTCTAAATTTGAAAAAAGCTATCTAGAAACTGATTGTTTTTTATAATACTGGGAAGCATTACATAGAAGAAAATTGCCTTAACTGTTGTCAAATTAATTAATTGTGGTAGGTTTCGATTTCTTTTTCCGTAATTGCTATATAATTGTTCAGATGGGCAATCTAATTATTTTAAATTAGTTTCAAGTCAGAAGGCAAGAATTTGGAACGGAACTGTATTGATTTTGTGCGGAATTTATCTCACAGCAACCAAGAAATAGACATATCTATGTTTTATCTGCAGCAATCACGCATTTTTGGTAACACATTTTCGTAGCCCGTTTCACAACATGTTGCAGTTACATTTAAAAAATGTGCTTTTTGAAAAATCAACGAACTCGTTTCGAAGATATTATTACGGCACATCATGTTCTATTCTCTTAATAACAGTAGACATAATGAGATCGGATCTTATCTGTCAAGAGCTATTTCATATCAGTTTATTATTTATATTTTCTTTTTTTTCCAGATTCATCTGCCATCAAAGCATTAATCTCGTCTGTCAATCGCCGGTCGAGCATTAAAACCCTGTTATCGCCCCCTTCGTAGTTCGAAGCAAACTTCGATAAAAAAGGAAAGAGGTATATCATCATTGGAGCCAGCCATCCTAACATGCCGTCGTCGTATGCATTACACAGTCCGCATGTCAACATTGTCAACTGATGTCATCATGAAACTTTTTTAAACAGTTTTTTTATTCAATTCGCTGACGGTGAATTTGTATTTAGGTTGTCTCCGTCATAACCCAATCGATTGAATTCATTTTCATGGTTTTGCTTATCGTAATAACATTCAATAAATGAACCATAAAATTGTACTAAAAGAATCAAACAGTCCGCAACTAATTCAGATGTAATTAAGTAATGGATGCGTGCGGAATGATTAATGAGAATTGTACGAATTGATTTCACAGTCACACACGAAGATTTTAAATGTTAATTTATCATCCTGGAAGGCTTTTAATTACAAAAGCATTGTTAATAATTTTTTTATCGAAACTCTTTAGTGCTATAGAATTTCCTTGAAGTTACGGAAAAAGAAACACTGGTGTGTTGTACTTCATCGTGACGGCCAAAATTATTAATACTGCTATTACAGTGGTCTTAATTACTCTACCTAAAAAGTTCTAATGAAGTGTTCATATTAATTAAATGGGCTGGCTAAAATCTTTGTATAATTTGGCTGCTTATATTAATCAAGTGGAAATTGCTTAATGAAGATTAATATCAGTTTTATTATTTACAGGAAAGTGCGCCCAGATGGACGGAGGATGGAACAGACAACTTGTTTTGAACATTTCTAAATTAAGAGGAAGTAGGTATTTAAATGTCGTTGATGAAATGATACATTGAGAACTCGGAAATAATTAAATTTGCATTTCAAATTTGACATCCGTGTGCATTCTTTTTGTGAATGTTGGCAAAACAACAACATGGATGGAACCACCATCTATTTAATAAAAATGTTAACCCTCATTTTTGCAAGCTATAATTCTAATAACGTAGGTTTTAGGTGAAATAGTCTTGGAAATTTGAATTTTGAACCATCTGTGAAATAGTTACCCTATGATATTTAAAATAGCTGCAAAATAAAAAAAATATGGACTTAAATGTCATCATGTGATATCTACCATTACCAGAATACTGAGATTTTCTTAAAAGTTTGTAATCCAGTTGATCTCTCCTAAACTTAAATGATTTAGTGACATTATTCTGATTGTGGTCTGCTAATATTTTTATTGAGATATTTAAAAACTTTATTAAAAACAAAAATTAAATGCTCAATTGTTTTGATTCGTGCATTTTTTGAACTATTTCCTGACTACAAAACCTGTGTTGACGTAAAATTTTGACAACGTACGAATTATTTTTAGGCTTTCTTCCGATGAAATTAATTTTCTAAGATAATCGTTGCTGGAACAAGTATGTATTAATGACGGATAATGCACGGTTTATCTAATTATATATATTGATTTAAAGTGGCAATATAATCTAGAATAACATAGATACACTGTGATTAAATATGTATATCCCCATGTCTACATGTAATTACACATGATAAAGTATAATTAAAGAAGAATCAATAATTAATAATGTTTTGTTGGGGAAATCAAATACCTAGAATCAAAAACATTTGTATTTTTTTTTAAATGGGTAAAGCAAAGACAGATTTGTAAAAGAACAAAAACTGATTCTTTTGTCCAACAGCTGTGATGATTAGTACCTATTTTACTGCAAATAATAATCAGTATTTTCCATATTTTTGACAGAATTTGTCTCTCTCTTCTTTCGTACATAGAAATGACAGATGTTTTGTAGTGTTGATATTCTAGCAGAAAATTACTGAACACATTTTAATAATGAAAATTAAATGATCTTTCTGAATTTACAAGAATTTTAGGACATCTAATATTTTCCTCCTATCTCCACAAAAAAAGATAATTTTATTTTTTGGTGAACGGTAATATCTGGATTTAGACACCACCTGATAAAAGACATTTTTTAAATCATAATTATCTACTGGTCGTGCTTAATATTGTAAAATAGTATAGAAAAAGATTGCAGTAAAAATTAGGAGCGATTTATTGTATGTCCTATTACAAGAAAAAAAAAAATGTTGCACGTTAATTATAGTATAACTTAAATGCTAGAATGTTTAAAAGACTGGGAGATAACAAAATCTAATTAAATCTGAATTAAGAAAAAGAAATGGAAAATGCTTGTCACAAAAATTAAAACAACCAAAAATAAAAAAGAGTAGGACATTTAAATTGAGGTGTGAAATAACCTAATGGAACTGTCACACTCGGAAATAATATATAAAGATAAAAAAAAACACATTTCATAAAACTATATTTTGCAAGATCCTGTTGGTTTAAAATTTATAATCTTAAATTCAAAAGTGGTGTTTGGGTTTAATTTGAGTTTAAATTTAAAATCGTGTCAAGCCAGCATAAGAGAAATCGATTTTAGTTATGATAATGATGACATGAAATCAAGTTACAAACTGTATTCCATATTTATTTTTGCCATTTCTTTGGCACACGACATACTTGTTCAATAAGGCAAGATGTGTATAATTTGTTATTTATTTGGTGACGCACTGTTTGTCTGTTTGTTTATATTTATATTTATATTGTTTTATTTATTTATTGCTTAAGTTAACGATCTTAACTTAAATCATTAAGACCCGATTTATAGAAAGCGAAGTTAAAGTTAATTCGCGATTAACTTTTAACTGAGGTCCGTTGCCAGGCAACGCACATATTTTAACCAATCACGGGCTCATATTCCACATTTTAATTCTCTGTTAAACTAATCGAGGATTAAATATTTAACTCGATGTTCTATAAACCGGCCCTAAATGTCATAACATTTATTCCCACGACAAATATACAAAATTATGGTGTTATAAGCGACAAAACTCGTTTTTATTTATTTTGTAATAAAATTGTTTATTTGTTTTTTATGTCCAATAAAGTTACATATTTGTGTTGATACCTCAATAACGTTATTTTTTTTAAATGAAATTAAAATATGTCTCGTCGCTGCAGAATTTAATATATCATTGATAGTTCACAGGTTGGAAAAGATATACCTACAGATTAATTTGCTTAGTAAACTTATGGTTTCAAAGAGTGCGTACAAATTTTACTTAACGTTTGTAACTAAGTTAACGAAATGGAAACAAAGTGACGCGAAATTTTTTTCTGGATTTTGTATAATGGTAAAATTTTGACTTTTTCCTTGTGACTACGTAAGTCGATTTTCTTAAGGATGTTTTAGTACCTAGGGTCATTTACGGATTGGTTAGAACTGATGTGTGAAACATCAGCGTACCTATATAATTTCATAAATTATATAGTTTTTAAAATGTTGGATTTTAGTGTAACATATGTTTAACTACTAATTTATATAAATATATTGATAGTAGTAGTAATATTTGTTTTTTGTTTCAGATAATCGAGGAACATTAAATAATATCGTCGCTTCACGTTAATGCTCTACATCTACCCTGTAGATCCGAATTTGTTTGAAATCAGGCGACAAATTCGGTTCTAGAGAGGTTTGTGTGGTGCATACAATGCAACGTGACTATAATAAAAATAAGTGCTAGTGTTACTAACAGTATCATAATTGAAAGAACTGTTCTATGTAGAAAACACAAATTGTATGAATTGAATGAATGAAGATTTAACATATTGCTATTGTCAATACTAACATGTAAATAATTTGAAATATTTAGTAATAAACATTTTACATACATTCTTGAGTTGTATATATTAAACCTATTAGGTATAAGTACTAGGACCAGGTTTATAAAGGCGTATTTGATCATGTGACCAAATTCAACTACTCAAAATGTCAAGATTATGATTTAATCTTTATTAAAGATTTAATATGACACTGAGTCTCATTATTCTTTTGAATATGTCTAGGGCCGGTTTATAAAAAGCGAATTAAATATTTAATCTTCGATTCATTTAGCAGAGAATTAAAGTGTAGAATATAAGCCCATGATTGTTTAAAACATGCACGTTTAATTCGTTTTATATAAACCGACCCCGTAGTTTTTATATATACTATATTCTGAAATGTGCTCAGTTTTTATAGTAACTTTTAAAGATTAATTTGTTACAAAGTATGTGGAAATTTAAAAAATAATCAAATTTTCCTGCACTTTTTTTGTTTGTTATATTAGGTTATATTACTGAAATGTTACAACAAATTCTGAAACAATCGGTGTCTAGAGGAAGTTGCTAAAATTGCCTCTTTAAATATGTAGGTACATCGTGCAACTCTGCAACGGATCTGTACTGTGTGTAAAAAACAGACGTAAAAGAATGTTATAAAACAACAAGATTCAGAACCAGTTATAAAAGTTTGATAAATAATGTGCTACCATTTGAATGATTACCTATCAATATCTATTGTACTTCCACTTGGTTTATGTTTATGTTGCATGTTACTATTGTTGCTATTGTGTAAAAAATGAACATTCTCGCTGGACAGCATTTCATTCAGAAAATGTATTCAAATTGTTAATTTATAGTATGCAACATTTATAATAATTAAAAATATTCCCAATGACATTACACAATCATAAAAAAAAAATTGTAGTAGAATAATAACGATGTTATAGATTTATCTTAATTAAATTTTATTTAAAGACGTTCTCTCATTTCTTTTCCAAAAAAAGAATGTTCGTTTTCCTATCACCAATTAATTTTTTGTAATGTTTGCACTCTTCCAAAGTTAACAATAATATATTTCGATAACTATAATTTATTTTAAGAATCTAAATATATTCTCAGTAATGCAAAGCTTATTGCATTAAGTGCATCAAACAAATTATTTTAATCTTAATTCAAAATTTGCGGCATTTAGGGGTATTTTAATAGTAAATAGGTGAACCTGACTTATTTTAGTTTCATTTCAAATTAATAAAATAGCAGTATTATGTAACATAATGAAATAATCTTAATTTTATAATTTTCATTTGTTACTTTATCTCACAGTTGTTAGCGGACTCTAAGATAACGAAAGAATATAATAGTAAAATCAAATATTTAAACAATGTATTGTTTAATATGTAGTGAATCTAATTTGAAGGTGATGTTCGTTTACTGTTTAAAAAAAAACAAAATAGGTAGGTTACAAACAAGTTTTCAATAAAATTCGAAGCAGTGTTGAAGGAAGGCTCGTTCAGTATGTATACAAAGACAAGTTTAAAATTTCTATCGTTATATTTATATTTGATTTTTGTTGGCTCGTTTTATGCTTGGAGTCAATTAACAGTTTAATCATTCTGAAACCTGTGTATTGCTGGTTGCAGACGAACGTCGCTGGTCTTATAAAAAAATCTTTTGTTCTCTTACCCCACAAAATTTCACGTAAGTATAGTAACCAATTAATTACATTATATATGAAATTACTTTTTTTTATTATATATTACTCCCCTATATTTATCTACAGAACAAAAGGTTTTTCGAGAAGTCATGAATGATTAACCTTGGACGGTTTTAGACAAACTTTAATAGAAAATATATAGATATGTAATAAAATTTGCTTTAAGGTTAAAAATGGTGATTATGTTGTTACTGGAAATTGTTGTTTTAAAGTTTTCTAACAAATATTACTTATCTAGTGATCAAGTAATCATTTGTATCTTTAAAGAAAAGAAAATTAAAAATATGTGAACTGTAACAAAATCGCTGGAGTGTTCCAGAAGTCGAAAATATGTTGATGTTAGTACCATTGACAACATTTACCCGAAAATATTAAATGTAGGTACTTTTAAAATGTAGACCGAATCTCAAAATGTGTCAGGTGGCTGATGTGAACATTTGTGTGAAGCATTCTGTTTGTAACTATTTTATTCGGTTACTTAGCATTTTCTGTATTTAAAGATTTCAATGTTGTCAGTAAACAATTTGGCTCTTGCTGATGGCAAAGATATTAATATTATACGTGGTCATCTTACAGTTTCCGGAAACACGTTTGAGAACAATGGCATTTTTTTTTCGGTAAACAGCAGTATCATTTTCATATTTGTTCCAGATTTTGTTTATTAAAAAGCAGTATAGAATAATTACAATTAAGCTATGTTCTTGTAACTAAATAGATACTTTTGCGAACTTCTAGTGTTTAAGAAGAAACTTTTGTAATTGTTGGCCGTAGTTTGGTAACTGCTTTAGCTGTTTCTGGCACATTAAGCAAAACTGAGATGAATTCTTTCACCTACTAAACAAATCAATATAAGAACATTTTCTTTCCATGACAGCATGTTGTTTCAGAATTAAAAATAATATCTTATAGTAGGTACTAAATCAACTTTCCAATTTAAGATTTTTTCGTTGAAGTCAGTAATTAGATAATGATGTATTTTTATAAAATCTGGCACTGTAAAATAGAAATATTTCTTTCCAAACTATGCATTTTTTTAAATCGTTAGTTGCGAAATTTCTTATTGCTCGCCACACAGATGCAGTATTAAATGCGGCTATAAACTTTATTTTATAGAGTAATAAATAACTAATAACTGCGTTAGAATTGTAATTAAGCGAAACGTGGGTAAATATAATTTACGTCCAGTAAATGTGACGATAAAATTATTTTAAATGTATTTTTGATTGATTACTTTAACAAATTGACACTACGTGGGCTAAGTTTAACGTTTATGCTTAAATATAACGCAATATTTACCTAAAATTAGAGAGGTAGTGCAAAGACAATTAATTTAATAAGTTAGTCTATTAAAATTGGAATGCATACGTTATTAGTCTAATTTTATCCTCGAAAGATATTTCTTCCTAAAGCAGAAAACTGTTATTAGATAACAGCATATCGAGTGCAACATTTGTAATTTGTAGCTAGATTAAGGTTAAGATCATTAATCATAACTTGTTTGGTGTTAATTTTTGTATCCTTTATGATCGGTTCGAGTGGTCCCACTGTGATTGACATGGCCATTGTTGTAAGTTATTCAAATTAGTTTCACGTGGAAATATTTTTTAAAAAACTACCTGTTCGAAAATAAAACATTCTTCCTCATCACTTCACCGCTAATTCAACAAAAAATACAAAACACGCCAACCCGAACTCAATTCGGGAAAATAAAAACGAACTGCGAACGTGAGGTCCTCATATCTTTTTTATTAATTAAGTGCATTAAAGACTTAGTTGGTCGAATCTACCGTGGTAAGGGTTTGGAGATAAGCAGGCAGCGGTAAGTATTCTACCAGGACGTAAGATTAATGATACGCGGCCTAAGATTCAAAAGTGACATGAAAATCTCAGCCTCTGCTTGGTCCCAACTGCATCTTTACAAGCTTTTGTTGAGGTGGGCTTCCAGGAGGAGGTAAACGGTGAGTTTTACATTTTTGGGGCCAGGAGGATTAACAGAATTCGTTTCATAGCGAAATATTAAACTCGGTAACGAAATCTGCCAGGTTTGTTGGGACAGTTTTTAAGATTTTATTAATTGTTAGTTAAATGGTGCGTGCTTGCACATTCGACGTTATCCAGTCGGTTGTGATCTCGTTAGTGAGACATCATTACAAGAATGACTTAAATAATTACGAGTACTGACAGATGTGTGTCGGAGAATACAGCAAATTACGGTTTATTGACGTAATCAGAGCAGTTGGAAATCTTGGAGTGAATTTGACATGTTGTCCAATCTACACGATTAATTGTTAATTAGTTTTTTATAGTTTTTATTTAATTAATTTTGTGATTAGAGACTTGCCTCGCTTGAAAATTGACAAAATTATTAAATTGGGCGTGACAAATCGAAAGGTGTTTAAACACTGTGGTCTAGACATCGTTAAAAAATTATGCACGTTTTATGTAGGTATAGGTGTATTTTATTTACACAAACAAATAGAAACAGAGGTTAAAAAATGCAAATGGTTACAGTGCGATTGAGAGCGATCTTAATCAAAGTCACTGTTGATCTAAATTTCGCATGTTGTTGATTAAATTTAATTTTAATTGGAGGAAGACGAATATGTCAGTAATCATATGTTCATGAACATTTTTAGTCATGCATTATTTTCAATTATTTAATCAACATTTGACACTCTTTTTAATTATCTCATATTAACCGTTATTAAAAATGCTAATTTCGGTAATTTTTGCGATTTCATGAAACTCCGAAAATTTGGAATTCATGACTGATGAAAATCTTAGTGGAAGTTGTAATTTACATTTGAGTTTCCACCACGTCAGGTAGTGTGACAAAGTGGATTTATTTCCTTATCGCTTTTCAGTCTAGAGAATATTATGTACCTACCTAGTAGGTACATTAATGCGATACTAGAATTTTACGATGTTCTTAAATATCCTGACAATGGTAATGGTGGTTATTAATTATTATTATGTATGTAATAACTGTTGTTTAATTTGTTAATACAATAATTCCGTTAATAAAATCTTTTAAAATTTGGTTGGTGTCTCTCGAAATTTTGTAAGTTTTTGCTGTAAAATATATGTATTCATGTTGTCTATTCCCTAATTAAATAGGTATATGACAACATGAATAAATATAAAAATTCGAGTGAGAAAAATATCAAATCCTGAAAAATAAATGGTTTACGCCAATATGTACCAAGTACTAAATGATTTGTTAAATCTAAACAAACACGACAAAATACAGTGAAGAAACACAGCTATTATTAGTATGACACAAATTATTTCCAGGAACTTATTTTATTTA